CAATGGGGGAATTCTATTTTTTATATTTAAACTCTATATTTCAAAAAACTTTTTTGGTGTTTATGGGGTGTTATTTTTTTTACAAGCCTTGTGGGGAGCTGTGGGGTGGGGGATTTTTCTTCGGGCGGGTTTTTTAACCTTTTTTTGCAGCCCTACCGGTGGGGTGGGGCTACCACAACAAGGGGGGGGGTGTGTGGAGGAAACCCATTTTTTTTTTCCCTCATTAGCGGGGTGTGGTTGTGGGGGGAAAAACTCAAAAAAAAAAGTAAAAAAAAACAAACATTAAATACACGGGGGGGTGGGCACCCCTAAAGAAGGGAAATCAAAACCTTTTTACAGCTTTTTTCATTATAAATATAGGGGGGGGGGGGGTTTTTTTTTTTATTTGTTATCGGGGAATTTTTGGTGGGGGGGGGGGGGAGGGGGACAATTTTTTTTTGTTTGTGGTTTTAAAATGGGGAAAAGGGATACTTTTCTATTGTGTTTCTGCTTAAAAACAAAAAAACAAAAAAAAAATAATTCCACTTTTCGGTTGTTTCTTTGTGTGTCCCTACTATATACTTTATTTTTTACTCCCCATGGGGGGCGGGGGTTGGGACCCACAAATCCGGCGGCGTTTCGTTGAAGGGGGGGGGGGCCGGCCCATTTAGTTCTACTTTATGCAGCGGGGGGGGGGGGAGGGGCTTTTCTTTATTGGGGGATTGTTTGGGGGGTTCCCGTTGGGGGCAGGGGCCTTCTCGGGGGGGGGGGCTGTCCCCACCCTACGGGGGACCCCCAAACAAGGGCGGCTCTTATTCCATAATAACACCCGGGTGGGTTGGGCCTTATTTTGGGTGGGGTGGGGGGGGACGGGGGGCGCCTGCCAAATTTTCAATTTTCTCTGCTTTTATTATGTGGGTGTTCTATGGGGGGGGGGACCCCATTAGTTTTAAAAGGGGGGGGCCCATAACCTTTTTTCAACTCCCCCCAACTAAGGGGGGGCCGGGGGCCCCCACCAAATAACCAATAAAAAATTTTTTATGCCTCGACGGGGGGGTATCGTTGCGCGGAAACGTTTTTTTGTTTACAAAAGGTGTTTTTTCTGGTTGTTGGTGTTTTTTTTTCAGGAGGATTGGGCCGGGGCCTTGTTTTTCACTAAAAATTTTTCCCCCCCAAAATCTTCTTGCAAACAAAAAAGGCTGCTGCCCTCAGCTGTTGCCAAATATCTTAAACAAACAAACACGTTGCCTCGGATCCATGGACGTTTTTGCCGGGGTACGGGGGGGGAATTTAATTAAAAAAAAAAATCAAATATAAAAACCAGGTGTTATTTTTCCCCTTTGTGGGGGGTGGGTTATTTCGGCTTGTGGATTTTAGTGGGAGGGGGGGCCAAAATACCCCACCTATCCCTTTCCTTTTTTTCCCAGGGGGGTCTTTTTTTTTTTGGAGGGACCATGTTGAGGAACACCCCCACCCCCAGGCGGGGGAAAGGGGGAGGGGCTCGTGGGTGGCATTTTTGGGTTTTTTCCCACCAGAAAAAAAACCCCCTGAAAAAAAAAAGGCTTGTGCTTTTTTTTTTGTTGGGAAAAGCCTAGGCGCTCTGGGGTTTTATTTGGAGGGGGTCGGGGGGGGGGAGCAGGGGAATTTGGAATTTTCCCACACTTACAATTTTGGTGGGGGGGGGTGGGGGGGGGGGGGGGGAGGGGAAAACAATATTTTGGGCAAGAAGAAAAAAAAGGGTAAAATAAAGGCTTCTGTTAAAAAAAAAAAGTGGGGGGACAAAAAAAAAAAAACCGTGGGGATAATGGGGAAAAGATTAAATCACGGGCAGGGGGCCAGGGGGCAGGACGGGGTAGAGGGGGCGGGGGGGGGGGGCAGGGGACCCCGAAAAAGGTCTTCCCTGGGGGACGGGTTTTGAGTTTTTTTTTGGGGGGCGGGGGGGGCGGGGTATTACCCAAAACAAAATGGATTTCCCCCCAATTTTTTTGTTTTGTTTAACGGGGGGGCCATCGGCTTCAAAACTTAAAAAAAAACTAAAACAATAACCCCCCAACCGGTGGACTCCCTTTAAAAATTACATTTGGACTTTAAAAAATATTACCAGGGCTTTTTTTTTTACCCACCAAACCCCCCAGTGGCTAGACGGTTCTATAACCCACCTGGGGATTATAAAAAAATACAGTGCCCACCTTTGTTTGGGGGGGGGGGGGCCCCTGTTTTGGCTTGGGGGGGGAAACTTGTGTGCGAGGTTTTTGTTGTTTCTTGGTCTTCCCCCAAATTACAAAATTGTATTTTTGCATAAAAAAAACTTTTATTTTTATGGGAAAACATGGTGGGTCTTTTGGTTGGGTATTCTAAACAATTCCAGGGGGGCTTTAAAAAATTAAATAAGTGGGTGTTTTGTTTTTTTTTGGTTTTGTTATTTTGGTTGGTTCCCCAAATTCCTTAATTTAATTTCCTTTCTATGTTTTTTTTTTGTTAAACTTAAAAATATAAAATAACGCAGATCCCAGTGGGAGTTTGGGTGGGACTTTTAATATTTGGGGTTAAATTCGCTTTTTAAAAAGGGGGGGGGTTTGTGTTTTCTTTTTGGCTGGGGGAAACCCCACACTGGGGGGGTGTTGGGAAAAAAAACATTGGGATTTTTTTCTTTTATTTTTTTCCTAGGGGGATAGAGGATTTTGGTGGGGGGAAAAGGGGGCCATAATTTTTCAATTTTTTTTTCGGGGGGAATTTGTCAATTAAACTTTGGGGGTGGGGGGATTGGGTTTCGGCATGTTGGGGGGGGGACGTGAGGAAATTTTGTTTCTTGGTTTTAAAAATCGTGTAAACTTTGGCCCCGGGTTAGGGGGGAAAAAACCCAGGGGGGGGCCCATAAAAATAAAAAAAAAAATATAAATACCCATTTGATTAAAAAAATGACAAAAAGTTTTTTTTACCGGGGGGAGCGGGTGTTTGAACAATGACGGAATGAAGGGTTAGGGAAAAGGGCGGGGCACCGCCCACCAAAAAAATAAAACCACCGGGGGGGACGGGAAGGGGGGGGGTGTTTTTTCGAGGGTTTTCACCAAAAGGGTGGCCCCCAAGCCCTTTTTTGAGTTTTTTTTTAAATCTTTGTTAACGGGAGGTTTAGTTGTTTCCCCCAAAATGATTTTTTTTTCTTTCTGGTATTAATCCCCATTTTCTATTTGGGTTGGAATATTTGGGGCGGTTGGTGGGGGGGGGGGGTGGGGATAAAACCATTTTTTTTTGTTACCAATAAAAATAAATCTTGTTTTGGGGGGGAGGGGGGCAGGAGGGACCCCCCCCCAAAAATAACCTAGCTTTCTCTGCTTAAGGGGGAACATAACAAGGGTAATTAGAGCCAATTTTTGTTTTGGGTTGTGGGTTTGGTATTGTGGTTTGGGGGGGTTTTTTGTTGGGGTCGGTGTTTGGGGGGGCGGGGGGCGGGCTTGGGTTTTTTTCTGGGGGCTTCCGGGTCTGTGGGCGTTTGTACATTTGCGGGTACGTGTGTTTTAAAATAAGGTGGGGGTTTTGGGGTGGGGTTGATTGTTATTTTTTATGGTAATTGGGTTGGGGCCACAAAATTTGTTTTGCGGAAATTATTTTTTAGTGGGGGGCCCATTTTCTTTGCTGGGTTAATAAAAATACAGGGTAAAAAAAAAAAAAAAATCTTGGGGGGCGGGCTCTTTGTTTTCTCTGGCGGGAAATGGGGTTTTTTGGGGCCCAAAAAACTTTTCCTGAATTTCTGACCCACTAAATAGGGTTGGCTTTGTTTTTTAACCAATTTAAAAAAAAAAAATATAAAACCCTTCTTTTTTGGTGGGTTTTTGCATGGCCGTCGGGGGGTAAATGAAAAACATGGCTTTTTTTTTTTTTTTTTAACAAAAAAACAAGGCCCCTCCCTATTTTTTTTTTTTTTTGGGGGGGTGGGGGTTTGTACTTTTTGGGGGGCTGGAAACACTAAAACTAAAAAAAAACCACCACTTTTTTATCCCCCCCCCCAACCTTACGGGAAATTTTTCTTTTTTTTTTGGGGGGAACCCCCCCACCCCCCCCCAACACCCCCACGGGGGGGGCTTATTTGCGGGGCGCCCCAGGGGAGGTGTCGTGGTTGGGGACCAAAAAAATAATAAAAAACAAAGGAGGATTGTATCGTTGGGTGTTTTCGTTTAACATAAACCCAAAGGGGGAGGGGGGGGCCTGGGCCTTTTTAAGGGTGACATAGGGAGGGCCGTTTGTGGTTTTTGTTTTTTTTTTTATCCGTTATTCTTTGTTCTTGTTCTGTTTCGGTTAACACCCAACAAAACGTTTGGGGGGGTTAATTTTTTTACCAACCCCCCTCATGGGGTGGGGGGAATTTTGTGGTTGTTTCTGGTTTTTTTACAGATTTTTTTTTATTTAGAACATTAATATTGGTCCACATTACCAACCCCCACACTAACATTTCTGGGGTTTTGCCGGGGGGGGGGCACTCGGTCCCCCAACAATTTAATTATTTTGTTCTGGGGTTTTTACGTCCCACAACATAACCACATTTTATTGCTGGTTTTTTTTTTTTACGCCCACCCCCCCACCCCCCCCCCCCCCCCCCCAAAACAAAATGTCCGGGTTTTTTGTTACCGGCAACCCCAAAAACCCCCAACCCCAAATTTTTATTGTTTATTGGAAATAACCCCCCCAAGTTTAAAAAATTAGGGGCTTTCCATTTAACAAATTGAAAAATGGTTCCCCATAGGTTTTTGGGGATGTTTTTTCTATTTCGTTTTTTTTTGTTATTTGGAATGTGGCCTATTTTGGAATAAATAAATACAAAAATAAATTTTGAAAAAAAAAAAAAAAAAATAACTAAAAAAAAAAACATGGTTGGGGTTTTTTTTCCCCACACTTTTACCCCCTTGTTTTTTTATTTTTATCAAGGGGAGGGGAGGGAGTTTTTTTTCTTTGTTTAGAGGGGGGGGGAAGGTGGATCACGAACGGTTTTGGGGGGGGGGCACCCAAACGTGGGGTTGTGGAATTGAATGGGGGGTGATTGTTTTTTGGACTTGGGTGGGGGGGGGGGGGTGGAAGGGGTTGGTGAGGGGGGGGGGGGGGTGTCTTTGGAGGGGGGGGTGGGAGGGGGGTATTATCTGGGGTTTTTGGTGTTTTCGGGTGGGTCACGGGTGTGCTGATATGTGGCTTTGTTTGTTATTGTGGAGGGGATGGGGCGGGGTTTTTCTTTGCTGGGGGTTTTTTGGTGGTCTTGTGGGGTCCGGTGGGTGTGTTTTTATTTGTGGTGAAGGAGGGGCGGTTTTCTGTTTGTTGGTGTTCTTGTGTGGTGGTTTTGTTGTTGGTTGGTGAGGTGGGGAACGGCGGGGGGGGGGGGTGGGTTGGGTTTGGGGGGGTTGGTTGGTTGGTGGGGTGGGTTTGTTTTATGTGGGGGTTTTTGTGTGGGTGGGGGTTTTTGTTTGTTCTTGGTGTGTTTGGGTTAGGTGTTGGTTTTTTTTTTTTTTTAGCGCAAACTTGTTTTTTTCCAAATGCCTTGGTGGGGGGGTTTTTTTTCCCAGGTAAACCAAAAATATTACCTTTTTGTAGGGGTGAATTTTTTGTTTTCCACCCATTTTTGTGTTTTTTCCCCCCCACGGGGTTTTCTATTTAATTTTCCTTGGGGGGGGAAAAAAGGGACTCTTTTGGTTATTTTTTAACGTGGGGGGTTTAATTTTTGGGGGGGCCCGTATAAAAAACCCCCACCGGGGGTGGACACCCCCCCCAACTTGGGGGGGGTCCAGTCTTTTAATTTAAAATCTTCCAATTATGGGTTTATTAAATGGCTTTTTTTTCTTTTATAAAAACGGTTCCCCCTGTATTTGTTTTTTTTTGGGGCCCAGGGTTTTTTCTCTGTTAAAAAAAAAAATCCAATAATCTGGGGGAAAAAAGGTGGGAAAAACCCCCTAGGGGGAGGTTTTTTTTTTTGTTTTCTGTCCTGAAAAAATAAAAGTGTTGGGTTTTATTTTTTATTGGTGGGGGTGTCGGGGGGGAAAAAACACCTGGGTGGTTGTGGGGTTTTTTGGCGGGGTTGAATTCAAGGGGGTGGGGGGGGCCAACCTTTACAAATTGGGGGCGGGGGGGGGGGCAATTTTTTTTTACCTAAGTTTTTTGTTCCCAGGGGGCAGGGGGGCTGGTACTCAGGGGGTGTTGCCAAAAATCAATTGGGGGGGGGGGCTAGCCCCAAACAATAAACAGGGGAACGGTGGGGAAACATGAAACTTTTTTGTTTTCAGGTTTTTGTTTTTGTCAAGGGGGGGCTAGGGGAATAAAAAAAAAAGGGTTTTGGTTTTTTTCTAATTTTTGTGCCATCAAACATGTTGGGTCTGTGGGGGGTTTTCATTTAGGGGGCTTGGCAAAGTGGGGGGAAAAACAAAAATCCAATGGGGGGGAGGGGGGGTATATGGGCCCATCCAATTCTGGAAAAACGCGCACGCTTTTTTTCCTAACCACAACTGGGGTAAAAAAAAAGGTGGGGGTGGCTGGGGGGGGGGGCAACGTTTAAACCAAAAAAAGGGGGTTCCATGGGGGGGGGGGGGGGGGAAACTTTTTTTTTTCCAAAAAAATATTGTTGTAATGTTTTTTTTTATTTAAAGAGGAAAAAATGGGGATTTTTTTTTTTTTTTTTATACCCAATAAATATTTAAAATGTTTTGGTTGTTTTGGTTTTTATGGGGCTAGGGGGGCTTAGGGTTTTTTGCAAAAGGCTGGGGTTCCACCCCCTAATTTTTGATTGAAGAGGTTTTTTTCGGGGGAAAACCTTCTAGGGGGGGATTTTGTTTTTGGGTAAACGGGAATCGTAAATAAATACTGTTTTTTTCAAAGGTAAAAGGCGGAACAAAACCTTTGTTTTTTTTAAATATAAAAAGGTATGGGGACAAAAAGGGGTGGGAACAAAAAAAATTTTTTTCAAAATAAACAACAAAAAAATAACCACCTTTTTTTTTTTCTTTCAAGAACTCGGAAAGTTTGGGGGGGGTGGGAACGGATAACCAAAGGGGGGGCAACAAAAAAATTAAAAGGGAATTACTTTAGTTAAGTCTATGGTCAAGTGCTGCAATAAAGGGGAAAAGGAAAAAAAAAAGTATTTTTCTTATTTGGGGGGGCGGGGATATTGGGTATTTTAAAAAACATAGAGGGGCAAGAGGGGAGGGGGGGGGGGGGGGGGGGGGGGGGTGGGTGGGGGGGGGGGGGGGGTGGGGGGGGGGGGAGGTGGATGGGGGGGGGGGGGGTCGGGGGGGAGGGGGGGGGGGGGGGGTGGGGGGGGGGGGGGTGGGGGGGGTACCACTTGTCTGCTTTTGGGCCCTTTTTCTACTGTTTATTTTCACAATTGTGTTTGGGTTTTTCCCTTGCCCCCCCAACCACCAAAATAAAAATTTGGGGGTTTGTCCGGGTCCATTTTGTGGGGGGACTTAAGGGAATAAACACATGGGGTAATTTTTGGAAAAAAGTGGGGGGGGTGACGGGGTTCTAGGCCAGTGGAAGGGGATGGCTTTTGGCTTTATGCCTTCTTATATAAACCTTGGTTTTGGGAAACTTTGTCTATTAAAAAAAACAAGGGGCCCAACGTTTTTAAAAACTAAAAACCTTTTTTTCAGTTGTTTTGGACATTGTGATTTTTATGTTTTTTCTGGGGGGGGGGGGGAAATTTTTAGGGTGGGGGGGAAAACAATACTAAAAACCGGGTGGTTTTGGACAAGGGGGGTGTGGCCCCCCCACCAAATATTTTTTTTTTTTTTTTTGGGGGGGAGGGTTTTTTTTTACGAAAATGGGGGGTGAGCCGGGTCCATTGGTTGGGAAAATAAAAAAACTTTTTTAGGGGTGTTCCCCAGGCTTGGGCTTAAACAAGGGGCCCAAAAACAAATATTTCCCCACCCAGGGGTTTTTTAAAAAAAAATCCACAGGTGGAAGTTTTTTTTTAGGCCCACTGTAATAGGGGGGGGGTACTGGGTTTGGGGGGGGGGGGGGGCAACTGTTGGGGCTTTAAGGGCGAATAAAAAAAAGGGGGGGGGGTCGCTTAGTTTGGTTTTGGGGGGGAAAGGCGTGGGGGATCGGGTGTTTTTGGGGGGGCCCCCCCAAGGGGTTGGGGGGGCCCCCCGGGCTGTTTTTTCCCCCACAGTAAATAAAGGGAAATTGCCAGGGGGCCTAAAAAAAAAAAAAAACCAGTTTAGGGGGGAATAAATATGTCAGGGGGGGGGGGTGTGGGTTTTTGTCCAAGTTTGATATCCCCTTTCTGGCTTTCCCTTTTTTATGGCCCCCCAGGGGGCCTGTTTTTATTGTTTTTTTATTTCTTCTTTTTTAACCCGGGGGGATTGGCCATCCAGCAATAATAAAAAATAGCATGTTTGGGGTTTCTTTAAAAAAAATTTTCGGTGTGGGGCCCCAAAGTTGCAATTTGTTGTTTTTTTTCCAGGAATGGGGAGGGGTTTCCCCCCCCCACCTCCACTGGGGGTGTTTGTTGGGTTTTTCAACAAGCAGAACAATATAACAAAGGGGGGGACAAGGGGAATTTTTCTGGGGAGGTTGGAACTCGGGGGGAGGGGGAACGGGGGGCACTTGTGTACTTATTAAAAAAAAAAAAAAAAACCCACGGGGGGGGCATTGTGATTGGTAAAATGACCAAAATGGTGCATGTGGGGGTCTTTTTTTTTTTACATTTTTTAGGGGGGCAAGGTGGGGGGGGAAAAATTGAAGGGAGGGGAAAAGTCGGGTAGGGGTTTTTACATTTTTAAACCAGGAAAAAAGCTAAAAAAAAAAAAACCCGGGAAGGGGGGGAACGACCTGGGAAAAAAAAAAAAAAATAAAAAAAATAACAAACAAAATTTTAATAAGGAAATTTTTTTTTATTTTTCTTTTTAAAAATTGCCTTCCAACTGTTTTTTTTCAAAAAAAACCCCCCATTATTGTTGGGGAATTTGGGGAATTTTGGGCCAAGGTGGGGGGGGGGTCCAAGGGGGGGGGGGTTCTGTTTTTTTGGGGGGGGCTGGGTTTTTTCTTATTTTGATTTGGTGAGGGGGGGAAAATAAAACAAAAATTATTTCCAAATAACAATAGGGGGGGGAGGGGGGGGGGGGGGAAATAACTTTTTTCACATTTTCCCCTTTGGGCCCTCAAAAAATAATAAAATTAAAACCTCGGGGGGGGGGGCCTTTTTTTTTTTTTGATAGCCTTTTTTCAGAAAAAGCTTGGTGGGGGGGCAGGTTTTTTTTTACTGCGGGGGGGAATTGGTTGGGGGTGGGGGGACCTCCAAAAAAAATATTAATTGGGGGTGGGGGGAGGGGGGGGGCCATGTTTGTGTGTGGTTTGAATTAGGGGGTTACTGATAAATACACAAATAAACTAATTTTTATATCAAAAAAACCTCCCATAAAACGGGGGAAAAAAAGGGCCGGGGGGGCTTGCCGTTTTTAGGAAGGAAATGAAGGGGGGTGGGGGGGGGGGGGGGACGTATTTTCCTTTTGGTTTGGTTTTTTCTTGTTTTTTTCTTTTTGCATTTGGGCCCTTTACCCCCAGGTGGGGGGGTGGGGGGGACACCCTCGGCAAAGCCCCAAATAAAAAGTGGGGGGGGGAAAAAACCCAAACCGCCGGGGGGGGTGACCCCTTTTTTTTGCTTTTTTGTTTATCCACTTCTTTTGGGGGGTGGGGGAGAAATTGAGGGGGGACCGGGGTTTTTTAGTTAGGGGCGGGGGCCATTTGTTATTGGGGGCTTTAGTATTTTCTTTATGCCAAATTATTTATTAGATAAACCTTGGGAGGGGGGTAAATGGTCGGGGGGGGGGACCTGGGGGGGGAAATTATGTGGGGGCAAAAAAAAACAAAAAAAACCCTTTTTAATAATTTTGAAGTGGAAGCCCATAAAAAAATTACTAAAAAACGTTTCTTAATTGGCCCATCTTGGGGGGGGGGGTGTTAAAAAAACTGGGTGCCACCAGTTTTTTTGGGGGGGGGGGAAAACTTCTTTTGGGTTGAGATGTTTCAATTTCATTTCCAAATGCGGGGGGATAAAATGGATAAAGGGGGAAGGAAGCGGGGTTTTTAGGGACGGGGGTTTTTTTCCAAAAGGATTATTGGGCCACTTTTGGACTGCCTTTACCTTCAAAGAACGTTACGGGGGGGGTGGGGGGGGGGGGGGGGGGGGGGGGAACCCCTTTGGTTAAACTTCCATTTGTTTCTTGGACAATTTTGGGGCTCTTGGGGGGGGGGGGTGGGGGGGTTGGGGGAGGGGGGGGGTGGGGGAAAACTTGGTGTCTTTTCCAAAACTTTGAGGGGAAATAAAATGGGGGGGGGGGGGTGGGGGGCTGGTGGTCTCCCCCCCCCCAGGGGGGGGGAATATTTTTTTTTTTCAAAACCCGGGTGGGGGGGCAATTTTAGTAAAAAATTTAAAAAAAAGGGGGGGGGGGGGGGGAGAAAAAAAAAAAAACAATAAAGAAAATGGTCAAAGGTTTCGGGGGGAAAAAAAGTATTTTTTTTTTTTTTTATGGGCGGGCCGGTTTCCTTTGTCTCCTGAAAAAAAAATGGGGGGGATTTTTGGCCTTTTCTGATTAATCTGGGGGACGGTGTTTGGGTGGGGCGGAGATACACAAGGGAATTAGGGGGGGGTTTTCCCGTCTGACCCACCCTTTAAATTCCCATTTTAATTTTAATCCTTTTTTATTTCCCCCCGACCCACGGGAGGGGGGGCCCAGGGGGGGGGTGGGGACCCCCCCCCCCTCCCCCCCTCCAATTTATTTTTTTTTCAGGGGGGAAAACAGGGGTGTGGGCGGTGGGGGGGGGGGGGGGGGAGGGGGGGGGAACTCCCCTTACGGGGGGGGCCCAGGTAAAGCCAAAAAAAAAAAAAAAATGGCAATGTTTTGTTGGAATGGGCGGTTTTACGGCTTCCAAGAGGATTAATTATGTTTTTGGGTTTGTTTAAAAATTTTCTTTTTTTTTTTGTTCCTTTTTTTGTCATAAACTAAAAACCCAAAAAATCAAAACTTTTAGTATAAGGCCCCATCCTTTGAAAAGCATTTTTTTGTTTTTTTTAACAATTGTTCTTTTTTGTTTTTTACAGTTTCCTCATAAATAATTGGAGGGGGGGGAAAGGTAGGGGGAAAAAATTTTGGGAAGGATTTTTGGGGGGGGGATACATTTTATTTGATAAACTTGCCCATAAACCTTTCCCCTCGGGGGCCCTCATTTTTTTTTTGGGGGGGGGGGGGGGGGTGTGGGGGGGGGGGGTGGAGGGGGACTTTTGTTTTTTTGTTTTTTCGCCATTTTTTTATATTTTCCCCAACAGGGCAATAAGTATTTATGTACTGGGGGGGGGGGGGGGGAGGGGGGGGAATACTTAACCAGAGGGGTGGAACCCCCCCCACTGGGGGGGGGTGTAATAGGGGGGGCTGGGGGGGGGGGGGGGGCCAAAATAAAATTCATAAGGGGGCCAAAATATGTTTGCTTTGTTTTTGGGTTTTGGGGGGGGGGGGGGAATATGGGGGGCCCAATGGAAAGGCAAGGGTGACAGTGGGCTAGGAAGTTGGTGGGACTGGATGAAAAAATTTCGGGGGAAGGGGGGTAGTGGACATAGGGGGCCTGGGGGAGTGGGTGCCTTCGGGGTGGGGGGTCCCAGGGGGGGGAATTTTTTTTTGACCCAATAAACATTTGGGAGCCTGAAAGGGTTAAAATTTCTTTTTTGATATAAATCATTTTAAAAAAAAAATCTATGGGTTATTTGTAAATTTTTTTATTTTTTTTTCCCCCTAAAAAAGGGGGGACACACTGTTTTGTATTTTTTTTTATTTTTTTTTTCTGTTATATTGCCGGGTGGGGGGGGGGTTGGGGGGGGACCCGCGTGGGGGGGGAGGGTCAGGGCAGTTTAGTTGGGAAAGGGGGGCATTATTCTTTTGACTCTTCACAACCGGGGGGGGGGGGAATCGGGGGCTAAAAAGGATATATACAAAACACTTTTTTTTTCTTTTTTTATTTCAAGGGGGCGGAGGGGGGGTTAACATTCCTTCTAATATAATAAAAAAAATATCAGAAACCCCCTTTTTTTTCAATTTTCCAGGGGGATGGCCAACCCATGGTTTGGTGGGGCTTAGTTTTGGGCCCTATTTTTTTCTGGTTAAAAAAAGTTTGTTAAATACCAGGGGATTAGGGGGATTAAATTACTAAAATATAAAAAAAAAGGGGGCCCAGGCAGGGGGGCCTTGGTACTTCCTATACCCTGGGGGGTGGGAGGTGGGGTTATTTAGAGGCTTTTTTATTTACTATTTATTTCTATATAATTTTTTTTTCTTTTTTTTTCGTTCCCCTTAAGGGGGGAAAAAACGGGTGGTGTAAAAGAAAAAAACGCCATCGGGGGGTATTTTGTTTCTGGGGGCACTTGTTTTTTCTTTTGAGGTGGGGGGGCATAGGGCTGGTGGGGGGGGGTGCGAAGGGGGGGGGAAAAGGGGGGTGGGGGGGGGGGTGGTGGGGGGGGGGGGGGGGGGGGGGGGGGGGGGTGGGACCCCATTGGGGGTGGGGGACCCCCCAAACCTTTTTTTTTTGAATTATTTAAAACCCAAGAACTGGAAAAAAAAATAGGGGGGTTTCCCTGGGGGGGGTGGGGGGGGGGAGAAATACAAAAGGTCTTCCCCACTTGGTGGCCTGGGGGTGGGTCCCTGCAATTTAAATAATTTGCCCCCTCACCCTGGGGGCTGGGGGGGGATCCTTTATTGGGTGTGGTGGGAACTTTTTTTCGGGGGGGGGGGGGAACACATTTTTGGGGGAATAAGGTTATGCATTTTAATAAATTTTTTTTACAAATGGTTTCAAAAAAAATCTAAATCAATTTTTTTTTAGGTGGGGAAATCCACACTGCAAATTTTCGTTTCGGGGCGATTAATAAAAATACAAAATAAAAACTTCTTAAAAATTAAAATATAGCCTTTAAAATTTTAAAAAGTTTTTTTTTGTGGGGGGGTGTGGTTTTCTTATTTTGGTAACTGGGGTTTTTTTGGTTTAAAATTTTTAATACATAGCACCTTCTCCCTTTCTTTTTTTTATTTTCCTCCCCTGTTCCTCCGTTGTGTTGTTTGGTTTTCGAGAAGGGGGACAAGGATTGGTAATTTTACCAAAAATAAATTATTAAATATATAACAATAACCAGTCCAAATTAGAAAAAAAACCCACAACCATATCTATAAATCACTTATTTTTAACGGGGGGGGGGGGGTAATGTTTTAATTTTTTGATATTCGGGGGGAATTTTTGGTTTTTTTCCGGAAATTTTGCAGAGGTTGGTAATTCTATTTTTTTTCTGGGGAACACATTTTAGGAACAATATTTTTTTAAAATATTTATGAGTTGGGGCCCCCCACCCTATCCCCAAATGGTGGGGTTTTTCCCCGGGCTGTTTCTTAAAAAAGGGTGGTTCATTTTGTTTCTGGTTTAGGGGAGGGGGGGGGCCCATTTATAAATTTATTTGCCAGGGGGGGGGGTGGGGGGGGGGGGGGCCCCCTGGGCCAATGGAAGGGGGGGGGTGGGGGGGGTGGGGGGTCTTTCCCAGGGGGGGAGTGGGGGGTAAACCCTTTGTTTTTAGTTTTCCAATGGGGTGTTTCTGTATTTTTGGGGAAAAGGGGTGTTTTCCCATGGGTTCCTTTGTTTTTTTTTTTCCTTTTTCCCAACCCAGCATTTTTTCACAACCCTTTCAGTGTGGGAATTGCAGGGGGGGGGGGGGGGGGGGGGGGGGGGGGGGGGGAACCCCCCCCCATTGGGAGGCTTTTTCTTTTTTTTTTTTTTGTAAACCCCCCACCGTTATTTATTTTATTTCTTAGGGAGGGGAGATAAATAAAAAAAAACTTTTTTTATTATTTAGCAAAATTTTTTTTAACCCATCTTTTTTTTTTTTCCCCCAGGGGGGGGTTGGAAGGGGGGGGGGGGGTGGGGGGTGGGGGGGTGTGGGGGGGGGGGGGGGGGGGGGAACCCATAAGGCCAGGGCCTGGGGGCTGTTTGAACTCTTCCCCCCCCACCCTGGTTACCCCACTAACCCAGGGGGGGAAAAAGGGGGGGGGGCATCTTGCCCCCCAACTACCCCACTTTGGGGGGGTTGCAAATATTTTTTATTTTTTTTTTTTTTTTCCTGGATAGGGGGGGGGGGGGGTGAAAATTGGGGGTTGGGGAATGGGGGGGTTTGTTTTTTATCCGGGGGCCGTTGGGAACGGTTTTTTTCTTTTTTAACGTGGGGGTGGGGGGGGGGGGGGTGCCCGGTGGGGTTTTTCCGTTTTTATTGTTGGGGGATGGGGGGGGGAGGGTTCTCTTACTTTTGCCTTTTGTCCCTCTTGGGTCGGGGCAAAACAAGGGGGAATAATAACTTTTACACTTAAAAAACAAGCTTGTTTGTTTTGTTTTTTTTTTTAAATAAGTGGGGCGGGGCCCTTGGTTAGGGGGGGAAAAAAAAAAAAAAATAAAAAAACATCAATTTTTTTTATCATACCAATTTCTACAATTTGTTTTAATTAAATTTATTTCAAAGGGGGGGGGAAATTTCTACCTTATTGCTTCAGGGCTTTTTTCCAATTTTTTGTATTTCTGGTCGGGAGGGGCCTTTTTCTTTTTCCTTCGAAAATTTTTTTATTTTTTTCCACGTCCCCACTCTTTTTTCACCCGTGGGCTTCCCCCTTGGGGGGGCCCAATTTCAAACCCCCCCCCCCCAACCCCCTTTGGGAATGATTTTTTTTTGGGACCAAGGGGCTCCCCATTAGGTTAGTTCCCTCTTGGTTAGGTTCTGTTTTTTTTTTATATATTTTGGGGGCCTGGGGTATTTTGGGGAAATGAGGGAAAAATTGGGGGTTTCATGGGGGGGCGGGGGGAGGAAGGTTGGTCCCCAAAAAAAAATATAGGAGGGGGGGTTTGGGGGGGGGGGGGGGGGGGGGGGGGGGGGGTCCATCTCCATTTTACCTTTTCACTTTATTTTTTTTTTTTTTTCCAATAATTTTTTTGGGAAGACATCTTAAAATTATTATAACAAACTGTTTTTTTGAACCAATAAGTTAGTCTTTAATGTTGCGGGGCTTTCCTAAGTTTGGGGTATTGAGGGTTAAGTGGCATTCTCTGGGGGGGATTTTGCCCACCGCAAAATCCCACAATTTATTTTCTTTTGGTTTGGGTGTGGGCTACCTTTTGGGGCGGTTTTTTTTAGGGGGGGGGAAGGGGTGGGGGGGGGGGGGGGTTTTTTTTTTCTTTGATCCCTGGATTGGTTGGGGTTGGTTCTTTGTTTTTAGGATTTCGCCGGGGTGGGTGCCGGGGGCAGGGGGGGAAAAAAAAGGTGGGGGATGTTTTTTTTTAAAATTTGGGGTTTAAATTTGGGGAGGTCCCAAGGAGGGGGGGGATGGGAAAATACAGGGCCCTTTTTCTTGTTCCTGTTTTTCCCCCCCCATGGGGGCTTACATTTTCCCCATTCGGAAAAGGGCAAAAAAATCATATTTTCTGGGAAAGGGGGGTTTCAAAATAGATCTAAAATTCAAAACGGGGGTGCCCCATTCAACTTTGTTCCGGGTGGGGGGGGGGGGGAAATCTTTCTTTTTTTTGCCCCTTATTTTAAATTGTTTTATGTTCAAATATGGTCGTTTGTTGGGAATAAAATTTGGTGGGACCCCCACCCCCACAATTAAAAGCCCTTTTTTTTTTCTGTTTTTTTTCAAATGTTGGGGGGGTTAACCAGGGGGTTTTTTTTTCACCACACGAAGGCAATAGTGGGTTTCTTCAGGGGAAAATTTGGATTTTTGTTTGATCCCCCCCGTCGTATTTTCTTTTAAAGGTTTTTTAAACAAGGGGGCTGGGGTGTTCCGTTGGGCAAATTCCTTTTTTTTTGGAAATAAACTACCTTGATCCACCTTTTCCTTTTCCCTTTATTGTCGGTATTTGGGAACAATGGGGATGGGGGGGGGTGGGGACCCTACAACAAAAGGAGATTTTCCCCAAAAATAAATAAACAGAAAACTTGGGGGCCTGGGTATTTTCGGGGGGGTGGTGGGGGGGGGGGGGGGGGGGGGGGGGGGAATAAAAACCCTAATATTTGGGGCCTTAAAGGGGAGGGGGACGTTTTTTGGCTCACTTTTAATTTGGGTTATTTTTTGGGGGGGCCCAATTATTTTTTTTCAGGGGGGGGGGGGTTTTCCGGTGTGGGGGGATCAATGTGGTTTATAACCTTTCATTTAATGTGGGCCTTTTATATATTGTGTTTTGGCCATTGGGGCTCTAAAAAACCGGGGGTTCCTTCAGTGTTTTCCCCAAGAAGGGGTTAGGGAGGCCAGTGGGGGTTTCCGGGGAGTGGTTTTTTCCCAACTTTGGGGCTTTTGGGCACGGGAAAGGGGGGGGGTTTCTTGTTTTAGGGGGGCGCAGGGGGCGGCAGGTAAGAATAACCCAATCAAAATGGGGCGGGGGTAACGTCTGCCCCCCAAACAAAACCCTTTTTCTCAATATATAAAAAAAAATAAAAAACGGGGGGGCCAAAAACGGGGGGGGGGCCGGGGGGCCTGTGTTTTCGGTTTTTGGGAGGGGGGGGGTTTTTTTTAAAAATTAAAATTTAAAGGGGTTTTACCATTTTTTTGCAAATAACCCCCAAACCATAAAATTATTGTTTGCCTCCCTTTTTTTTTTTTTTGGAAGTTTCCCCCACAATTTTTTCAAGAAATATATACTGTTAGGCGTCTTGGAAAAGGGCTTTTCTAATGGGGCCGGGGAATGTACTTTATGAGGGGGGGGGGGGCCAAAGGAATTGGAGGGTTTTTTTTTTTTTCTTTTGTTTTTGTATTTTGATTTTGTGTTGGTTCCTTGCAATCATTAATTTTTTTTTTCCCCGCCCCCCCCCCCTGGGGGGGGGGGGGGGAACCCCTGACCTGCCCAATTTCAATCAATACATTTTTCCAAACATTTGGGTTTCAATAAAATGGGGTTTGGATGCGGGGAACAAAGGGAAAATAAAAAAATGGGGAAAAAATATTCCCCTTAAAATGTTGTTTATTTTTTTATTTCAGTTTTTCCCTGCGGGGGGGGTTTTTTGGGCCTTCGTTTTAAAATTTATTTTTATAACCGGGTGGGGGGGGGACCTTTTCTTCTTTTTCCATTTTTTTTTTTTTTTTTCTTTTTTGGGGGGGGGGCCTAAATTTTGTTAAATTTTTTGCATTTTTTCCAATGGAGGGGGGTCTTTAATTTTTCATATTTTTGGGGTGGGTCCCCGGGGTGTTTTTTTTTAAAAAGGTCGTTGATTTACCAAGGGGGGGTTTTGTAGGCTTTCCTTTTAGTTTTCCGAAGGTGGGTTTTTTCTTCCAGAAAACTTGCCCACTTTTTTTTTTTGTGCTTTGGTGGAGGGGGGGGGAAAAAAAACAAAAAAAAATTCCCCCAAAATCCCGGTGGGGGGGGGGGGGGGGGGGGGGGGGTCCTCCAAATTTTTTTTTCTTTTTTTTTGTTTTTTCCCCTTTTGGGATGGGGGCAAAATTGGCCGGATTAAAATTAAATGGGGGGGGGGGGGGGGGGGGGGAACCACAGGGCCTTTGTTTTTGGGGCTGGAGGGACTTTTTTTTGTATTTTATTTGCCCAATTTTTTTCCGGGATTTCCAGGGGGGGCTTGTCGGGGGGGCATTAAAGGGGGGGGGATGAGGGGGGTGCAGGGGGGGAGGGGGGGGGATAACTGGGAAAAACACCCGTAAAATCCATTTTTCTTTTTACCCCTTTGGTTTTGTAGGTGGCCCTGGGGGGGGGGCTTCTTTTTTTCTTTGTGGTAATAAAACAAATTAGGCCGGTGGGCCACCCCCACCCTTTGGGGGGGGGGGGGGGGCCCAAACAATTGGGGGGCCCTGCCCCCAAACAGGTGCGGGACCTTTTTCGCTTAATGCCCAATTGTCTGGGGGGGGGGGCCCCCCCCAATCCAGTTCTATTACCATTACTTTTGGGCAAAAAAAATAAAATACTTTCCCCCCCCCACCCTTTGGGGGATTTTTTTTTAAAACATACTGGGGGGAAAAATTATTTGTTTATGTTTTTGGGCTGTGTTTTAAGGCTTTTGGGGAAATACTTTTAAAAAAAAGGTGTCCCCAATTTTGTGTTTACGCCGGGGAGGGCTTTTTAAAAAAAAATAATAAAAATAAAACTTTCCAATAAAATTTTTTTAGTTTTGGCTCCACGGGGGTTTTGTTCCCCCCCCACTTTATTTTTTCCCTGATCCCAAAATGCCACATCTGGAATGGGTTTTTACCGGGTTGGGCCTTTATTTTTTTTAAAAAGGGGGATTTTCCCCCCACCCCCAGGGGGGTTAGGAAAAAAAAAAAAGGGGCCCCCACATTTTTTTTATTTGCTTCTTGGGGGCCTTTTTTTTGTAAACGGGTGCCAACTTTTTTTTTTTTTTTATTCAAAAAAAATTTTATTTTCCAATGGTGTTTTTCTAGGGTCCTCAAATACAAAATGTACGGGGGACCCAATTTTTTTTTGTTTTTATGGTGGGGGCAGGGGGGGGGACAATTGAAAAAAAAAACAGTAGAGGGCAAGGAAAGGTTGGTTTTCTCTTTGGGGGCCTTGGGTTGTTTTAACTATCGGCCCTCCCCCCCATATTTTTTTCTTTCTTTTTTTTTTGTTTTTGGGCTCCTGCATGGGATATAAAAAACCATAATTTTTTCTTTTAAATTTGGGGGGGGGCCCCCTTTTGGTTTTTTTTTCGGTTCACTTGTTTTTTTCACGGGGAGGTGTGTTTTCTTGAAGGGGGAAAAAAAAAAAAAAAAGGTTGGTTTTTTTTTGGATTTTTTTTTTTTCTTTTGTTTTTGTTCCATTTTCTGTTATTTTTTTTTACTTGTTTTTTTAACAAGGGTTTTCTTCTTTTCTTTTTTCTTGTCCATATTTTAAATTAAAAAAATTTATTATTTTTCGTAGCCTGATTTTGTCTGGGGGAAGGTTCGGGGGACCTGTTTAAATAATCCAAAATTTAGGGGGGGGGGGGGG